CCCATTACTCATAATCACTTTTGGACAGCAGCTGCAAGACAAGGATGGGACGGGCTGAAATGATATAGCACAAAACATCATCATTTGTCTAACAGCCACTGGGATTAGGAGTATTTGATGATGCGGCTAGCAGGGTTGCACGGTCCTGCTAAATGATAAAAATCCCCTCGGCCTTTGTTTTGTCCCCTGTGAGGAGCTGCTGCCCACTGGGCCTTGATGTGAAAATTATGATGTTAATGGATCCAGAAGCAGAATGCAAATCTCTGCAGGTATTCAGAAAACACGGGAGCAGGTATTGGGGCTGCCTTCAAACCCACATCGACCTAGGGAAAAATCCCTCACAAGGCTTGGTTGCTTCTTTGGGGAAGAATTTCACAGCAAGCTTGGAAGTGTCTTTGGTTGCTTTATTAATATTTTAACACTTCTCAAGGAAACCTAGACAGGCCTTTTGAGAAATGGGTTTAAAACCAGCTTATGCTAATACACTTCTTTAGTAAAGGGGAGCTATTTGGGCTCTATTTATAGAAGTGCTTGTGTCGAGTCCTGCCTGCCGGTTGGAGCCTTGCATGGTGAGAGGGCCAGGACCAAGGCATCCTCATCCAAAAGGCAAATCAAGGAAGGGCAAGCAGCAAACCGTGCTTGGGAAGATGTGAGCTGCAGGGTCTCCACTAGTGCCTCTGGGTTAGTTTTTGTTTTTTGTTTTGTTTTTCCTCCCTGATCTGCTCTTCTGCGTTTTGCAGCACAGAAATCAAACCCTGCCAACCAGGGTAACTTGTTAATGTTTTGCTAAACAGCTAAACATCTCTGGCTGGAGATCTTCAGATGCAAGACAGCATGTCATAATCAGGGGTTTATACTGCAAATCCTGCATGCAATCTTTGTGTCTTAAAAAAAAAAAAAAAAAAAAAAAATTCCCTTGCAAGGCAGACATCAGTCTTAATCCGAGTGACTCTATTGCACTCTTATCCCTTTAGTGAGACCTTTAACCCCACGCTACCTCTGTGCTGGTTGATTTGCAGGGGTCTTTGCTGGCCCCAGAGAACCCTGCAGCTAAAAGCCCCCAAGGGAAAGGGGGCTCTTGTTCTTTGGTTGGAAAGTGGATTTTTCCAGGGGAGATGCCGTCAGCCAGTGCAAATAATGCAGTTGGTGCCCTTCCTGGAGAAGGCAAAGCAAAAATGATGTGCTCGTGCAGACCTGCGTGGCGGATTGGGTTGTAGGTCAGACCGCTGTGCCTTGGCTCTGCCAGTTTATAACAGTTATCTATGACTGTTTCATAGAGCAAATGGGTTAAAAACAGCAGCAGTGATTAATGTAAATATGTAAGCTTATAAAGTCTGAATCCTGTCTCCAAATGCATAAAACATGAGTTTGGGATATATACCTTGAGCAGATGCATACCATGTGCATCTGGCATGGACTAGATGGCAGGAAGGTGTTTTCAGCCCTGACGTGTTCATGAGTGGCTTGTTCTTACTAAGATGCTGCTTTTGCATGGTCATGTATGCAAGTTCTTCAGGGGAAGCCCCTATGTCAATGTGACAAGAAGCTCTCAGCCCCTCAATGTGGTCAGGCTGGGAGGATATTTGGGGCAATGAAACCAGAGCTGGATGGTCACGTGTGAAGCCTTTCCCATGCCAGTATCTGAAAATGTAATAGGGAAAGTCAAAGCATGATTTCTTGAGAGGTTTAATTATTAGGTAACTGTTAGAGGATGAATGTGCAACAGAGGAGTAAAGGTTTGAAAGAAATGCATTTGGAAATGGTCGTTATTTTCATTAATCACAGCAACGTCCAGGCTTCGTGCCTATCTCTGCAGAGCTCAACAGGGCTCTTTATTGTTTCTCAGAGTGCTGTATATCAGTAATGCTGCTTTTCCCACGCGGAAATTTTTTGTTTCCCCCTTGGGGTATGTTTTCGCCGCTAAAATATTTGCCTTTGCAACGTAATGGTTTTGGAGGGAGTTCACGGCCTCTAAAATGCAGCCTAATAATTGAGAAAATGGACCATAAAAGTAAGTTTTCCTTTGAGCTCACGGAGGGAGGGCAATATTTTGGATGACCAGAAGGAAATGACTCAGGTTTGGGGTAACATGATGGGAAGAGAAGCAGCAGAAAGTCAGCTCCTTGACTCTGGCTATTGTGCCTTGAGAAAAGGAGAGGCAGTAGTTTCATTCTGGGAGGAAAAGGGGAAAAATCTTGCAGCAGTAGAAGAATAATTTCACAAGATTTCAAATACGAACTAAGATGCCATCTTCCTGAAATCAGTGTTCTAAGGTGCAATGTACGTCTAGCTGATAGTCTCATCTCTAAGGAAACCACAGGCAGGTGAATTCCTCAGTATGGCTTATGTGTGGAATTAGACTTGACAAGGGGAGGATTTGGGCTTAAGTGTTCCTGAGTGCCAGCCCTTGAATGTGGGCCTGGGTAGGTGACTGCTCACTAATCCCAGGACCAAATTCATGCCTGCTCCTGGCTGAGCTTGATTTTGCTGCCAGCATTGGGCTCAGCAGCTGCCTGCGGAGGTAGAAAGTGACAATGTAAGAAGCTTTTCTTTTTACTTATTTTTTTTTTAAATCTTTTTTTCTGGAATTTTTGGGACTTTAACAAAAATGTGGCCTTGTGACTGCTATTTTTTTTCCCAAGTGGTCTCCACAGTATTTGTATTTATTGTCTTTGCAAGAAGGGGGCATTTTGTCTTACTTTGTCTAGTGCGTTTTTAGTAGTGCATTGCCTGGAGACCCCTAGAAAGCAGGGGGATGATCTGCTGCTCCTGGGAGCAGGGACGTTGCTGGTAAAAAGTAATGATGAGATGATTTGTTCTGCCTTGATTTTGGTGGAGATGTTTCCACCATTTCTCTAATGAGTAGCATCTTGGTTGTTGGCATAAGGAATAAATCCGTAGAGAAATGCTTCTTATTTTTCTTTTTGACTGATGATGTATCTTTACGAGGAGCTCACTATTGGAGACTCGGCAACATTTTATGGCTTCCTTTCCCAGCGTATTGATCACTTGTACCCCTCTCAAAAGCAGCAGTGCTTTGCTCAGCTCTGAACGAGACAGTGGCCTTAAAATTGAATGCCTGCAAATTTACGTTTGCCCCATTAAAAAGTTCTTGTCAATCTGTGAATAAATACATACCAAAAAGTCTGTATGTATTGATCTTTTCTGTTGGACGTTGGGAAAAAAATCATATAGCGCATGTTCTGTTTAAAAACAAAACCCACAAAAAAACTTTTTATTGTTTTTAGTAGCTGAGCCTGCTCCATAAAGCCTCCTTTCCTCAATGCTAAATGCAGTCTTGTTTAAATAAATAAAAATGCTGTTTGGAGAATGTGCAGTCAATACAAATTATAGGCTGCTTATTAGAATTTGACTTGATTTGAAAAACTAACCTGCCCCCCAGAACCTGAGCGGAGATGCTGTGGGGCTGCAGCGGGCAGGGCGGCTGCTGCCGCCAGGTGTGTTTTGAACTCTGAGCCATTTTTCCTGCTTTCCGAGGTGTGTTTCGGACTCCGAGCCCTTTTTCCTGCTTTCCGCCGCCTCCCAGGCCTGCTGTCAGGCCATGCTCCGTTGCAGTGGTATTACTCTTGATTTGTTTTGCAGCGGTTCCGAGGGGCTCCAGCCGGGAATCTGCAAGCATGATACTGGGTTAGTTGGTGACACGGACCGAGGGGGCCTCTGTGCTGCATATTTACAAGCAAAAAGAATAATAAGAGGACACGGGAGCAGCTGTGCAGGTTCAAAGCAAGGTCTGTGTGGCCCAGCCTTTCAGCTCCCGCTCTGATCCTAAATCGATGCCTAGGGAAGAAGCAGCACAGGGTGAGATACTTGATATTCCCCTGCTGCAGCTCTCCTGCTACAAGCAATTCATTTTCAGCTCCAAGGACTTCAGAAGCCCTCTTTACTAAGCCCTTATGGGGCTCTGTTCCCCAAGTGCTTTTTCAGTGTCCCCTTCAAGGTCCCGCAGATGCTTCTTGCATCTAAGGTGCTCTCTAGCAAGGAGATCTGCATCAGCCTTTGCAAAGAGCTGCCCCTTAAGCTTGGTTTTGAACCTGAAAGAGGCCCTGCTAGTAACTGTGACTCTTGCTTTTTGCACTGGAAGAGCTGGGGAGCCACCAGTCCCTAGTTGCCCTCCTGGGATGCTGGGGACCAGTGTCCCTGAGGGGCTACAGAATCCCTGTCTACTGTCTTGTCCCTTGTGTGCCAGCTGCTCCATGCTTTGATCATCCTTGTTGCATTCTCTGAACCTCTTCCAATATTTATTTAATTGATTTATTTGAAGAACAGAAGGTTTTTCTATCTCCGTTCTCTGTTGGGCTGTTTTTGTTTCTCAATCAAATCACTGTCAACGTTAATTCAGGTTTCAGAATACTTAATCTCTGGGAACAAACTCCGTTAAGTTGCTCTAATTTGTGTGTTCTGCCACGGAAAAGGATGTGGCCTTTCAGCAACTAGCAACATTCGTTAATGATGAAGTTTCTTTATCTCGATTCATGGAGCTTTCTGGAGATGCTCAAAACTGAACAGGGAAACAAATCAATTTAAGTATTGTCTATTAGTTGGTTATTTCTTTAAGGCCTTTGAGTACTCTTGACCCTTCAATATGTTCTTCCTTGACAGCAGCCTTGTTCTTCCTTGTGGCAGCAGCCTTAGCCATCCGGCTGCCCAGCTCACAAAATCACTGGTCCTCACTTACTGATTTTCCTCTTTTTCACCTCATCTTTCTTCCTCTGTTTGTTCAGTCAAATAAGTGATAAAAGGCAACAATGATCTTTTTAACACCGCAGGAAGAAAGATGGGTTATGAGACAAGCGAGGCCTCTTGTTTACAGCGAGTTATTTTTGGTAATTAGCCATTTGTAGAGGAAGATGAGCCTCTGATCGTAAAGCCAGCATGCCATAATTTAGGGGGACGCCGAATGGAAATCTAATGTTCGTCTGAATTGGAAATGGTAATTGCATGCGTTTAGAAATAAATAAAGGGCTGTGTTTTCCTTGCAGGAAGCCGGCTGAACAAAGACCTGAGGCACTATCTCAACCAGCGCTTCCAGAAAGGCTCGCCGGACCACGATCTGCAGCAGACCATTCGAGATAACCTCTATCGCCATGCGGTGCCTTGTGAGTAAGCTGAAAGGCTGGGTTTCCCCTGGCACACGTGTCTTTTTGGACTCCTGGGGCACAGTGAGCTCATGTGGCAGCAAAGGAGATGCTGGCATGGGAAGCGATCCAGACTAGGTTAGGCCATGGGAAAAAAAACTTTCTCTGCTGTTGTTTTAGTTTGTATTTTTTATTTTTTTGTTGGATAAGACCTTGTTTTTGTTAATATTTCTCCCATGGGACTTTATTTCTGCTGCTTTTATTTCACTTGTGAAAGTGAGCAGTGTTTTGTGGCTGGGCACTATAGAAGCAGGATGGTGGTGCGTGCAGAAGGTCATCTGCGATGTGAGCAGGGGATCAGCTGCAAGAGGTAGTGAAGCTTTTAGGAAGAAGAACGCTCCTTTTCCCTCAAAGACCAGCTAGGAGGAAAACAGAGATGCTTATAGGGTGGTATTCCTCAGAAGTTCAGAATCTTTACCCAAAATCAAACTGTCCTTGCATCTTTTTGAAGACAGGAAGAGAGTGGAAAATGAGCCTTTGTCATTGCACCTCTGCTTTGCATTCTCCCCTTGCCAAGACAGGCTATTTTATACAAAAGGTTTTCATCTTTTTAGACCTTAATGAGCTTTGGGGATAATGTCATGTTTTGAAATCAGGTTGGGAAGAGAACTAGCAAGCATCACGGTTGCAGCAAATTGGACTGAGCAGCAAAACATTTTAGGCTTTCTATCTCTGTGAATCAGGAGTTGTTTATGCTGCTGCAGTTGTATAAATATTGAATAATGATGTTGCCACTTAAAGCCAGCATTTGCCAGCAACCACCTAATAATAGCTAAAATAATAGATATTTTCCATCTAAGTTTTGCATATGGAAAGACGGTGCAGGGCTGCAGGAGGGCCACATCGATATATGACAATTCTTTAAATGCCAAATGTTAAATATCACTGTCAAGTTTATTCTCATTTGTCTGCAGACTGATATACCTTGCAAATGTTGTGCATGGGCATTAAAAACATACATTATTATTTCTGTTGAGCACTTCCATTTCCATTTTGTGTGCTTGCAATATGATTAGGCTTCAGTCATCTAAGTTGCCTGGTTGTAGGATTTTAGGGATAAACTGAACAAAGTGTTTCAAGGAGTGCAAATGTAGTGTTAAGCTTGGTAGATGCGATGTGTTGCTGCTAGCATCCTTTTGCCCGTGGGTCTTGCTGCCGTTTCTGAAACAGCAAGAAAGGCAAGCGTGTGGAAACATTGTGTGTGTTTCCAAAGTTGCATTTAGGAATGTTTTCCAGTGATATTTTTCTCTGATTTATTGAACTTGCTCGTGAGCTAAACTTCTTGGACTCAGTGAAGGTTCTTGATTTAAAAACAAGACCAGTGAAAGTGATTCTTACCTTTTAAATACTGCTGAGTTGTAAAGCAGGTAACATTTTAATTTTCTCTCCAGGTACGGTGGGCCTCCTCCTAGCAATAACTTTGATGCTCATATTCACGTGTGAATTTGCAAGAGGCTACTGTATGTGTGGTAGGTCAGGATGCTTTGCAGGTCTGGAGATTAATCTAGCAGCATGCTCATATTTTTATTCCTTGAGACACGTGACCAGAAAATCCAGAGGCCTGGACCAATCTCTAGTGCTAATGGATTATGCAGTCTTGTATTTTGCAACTGGAATTCCCTGCTGATTATGTGGTGGAGGTGAACGAGAACCCAAGGTCACTTGGGCCGAGTGTGTTTGAACTGCCAGCTGCTTTCGGATGTACTGACATGAGGGCTAAATGAAGCAGTAATTAGTAAGTGCAAAATGGAGAAGGACACTGTTAACCAGTTTCCCCCAAAATTTTTAGCAGCAATTTGATGTGGTTTAGCTCTATCTAGTTTACTAGAGGCCTGAAGAAAACATGAAGGGCTTGTGTTTTCCACTCTGCCACGTGCACGTTGGTGCCTGGCCAGCCCACCAAGAACATGGAGATGAGGCCATAGCTTTTATAGAAGATAAAGATCAGACAACGGGGTTAGAAGGATGCACAGTTTAACCCGTCCTGTTGTTTCATATGATGACAATGACACACTGCTTAATTATCAATTAGATACTCATTTCAGGAGTTTGTTAGGAACACATTTTTTCTGAGAGAGCAGAGGACTTTGCTTCTCATTCCTAAATGCAGGAGCAGCCTTTAAAGAAGTGAGACCCTGAAATATGCCTAGAAAGAAAGGGTTATCCAAAGCAGCAAATGAATTGCACAGTCATTCTTTGAAGCTGAAGTCTTAAAGAGAAATCTCTAGCTGCAAAGCTAAACCTGGAGCTCAAATGGGAAGGACCATGTAGCCCTGACCCTGCTCCAGGTGGACCAGCGCTGGTCAGCCTTGGTTGTTCTCTTTCTGCGTTTTCATTTTCTCTTCCTCCATGGAGCTTCCTCCAGCTCTTCCTATGTATCCTCAGCTCCCTGTTCCCCAGTTGAGCTGGCATTTGTTGCAACACGGTAGTAAACAACAGCTGTGACGAGCATCCTGGTGGCCTCCCCGTTTGGTTGTTGCCCTCTTTCGAGTGCTCTGCTGCTGCTATCACATCAAACCCACAAGGTTTATTTACAGACGCAAAGCATTCTCCCCTGGAGTTTACAGCTTTATCATTGTGATTTAGGACCTGGCTAGTAAGAAAGAGAGGCCCAGGACACCTTATTTATGTAGGAGGGCAGTGAATAAACACTCCTGAAGACGTGCATTTACAGTGTACAAGCCTTTGAAAGAGTTAGTGCATTGGAGGCATTGAACTAGGGTTTATTTCAGCTGATTTTTTTTTTGTTTGTTTTGTTTCCATTCCTGTGCCACATATTATATGTGTCCCTGCTGGAGCAAGGGGGTTGAGCTACATGATCTCTAGAGGTCCTTTCCAATCTCACTCTGTGATTCTGTTTCTTCCTGCTGGGCACATTTCATTATTTCCTACTGCTCACATTTCATTATTGACTTCATATTTGTGTATATATGTCTGTGTATATAGTTTTTTTTTCTGCTAAGAGCAGTTGTTGCCTTAAATTTCAGCAAGATGATTCTTGTTCAGATAAATCGCTATTCTCATTCCTGGCATGTAGGATCCAACATCAAAAAAAAAAAAAAAAAATCCTCAAATAGATCATTGAGATTAGCAAGATGCTGCAAGATGTAGTCTCTAGCTATTCCTTTTGCCTCGTTCCATTTTGAAGCACCACATTTTTCCTCTTCTGACATGCCTCATGAAGACCACCAGAAACGATGCTCCATTTGCAGACTGGTAGATGGCTTCAAATTGGCAAGAATTTCACAGTTACTGATTAGATGTGACCATAGCCCAAATGATGTGGGGACATTGACCGTGATTTATTTCTGGTGTGAGTTTCATCTAGGCTGGTGACGTTGAGCTGGGATGAGGACCAAGAGCAGAAGTGCAGGTTTACCAGCTGTGTGGGGCACGTGTCACCTTGTGGCACATCTGAGCTCACCTGGCCTAACAGAAGTGGATGTGACTTCTACTACACCTGATTTTGGGGATGGCTGAGGGCCTGTGGGATAGGGTGAGCATGCCAAAGTCTTGGCATTGGGTTTCACGAGTGTCTCTAGCAGAGCTTCCCAAAATAGTGTTGGTCTATGTGTCTGTGAGCGTTTACCTGGTGGGAATTGCAATTAGCTGGGAGGAGGCACGGGACTAAGTCCACGCTGCTGCATTCTAAGTAGGTGTCTCCAAGCAGCTTTATCTGGAGAGATCTCTGCAGTGGGGTTAAGAGAGAAGAAGCAATAGCAACTCGCCTTGGTGCCATGGTGCAACGGCGTGCCAAATACGCTGCTCGTGGCACACTGAGCAGACAAGATTATCTCCCATGTTTTGAGGTGGTAGAGCATGTCTGTTTTGAAACGAAGCAGCGATCCTGTCTATTTGTCCTGGTTGCTTATTCTCAACCACCTGACAGCAGTTTTCAGAATGTACCGAGAAGAATTAGAGCAATAGGATGGTTTCTATAAGACATTCACTTGGCTATCCACTTGCATGAGCCCCGTGGGACGTGTGTGACAGCTCTGTAGGTGAACCTGGTATCCATCCACACCTTTACTTGCCGAAACCACATGCGTGGTGCAGGCACGACTGCAGGTGATACCAGCAGTCACCTCCCAAGCCATGTAAATTCTGCATTTGTCTTATTTTAGTACTATAGGATTCCTTCTTGCTTTGCCTGGCTGTCGCCTTCAAAAGTGAGGCAGGAAAATGAAAGGTCTTTTTAACTGCAGATGAAATGGGGACAATATAATGGCCAGCGAGGAGTTCAGTCTCAGATGTCATTCTCTACTTTCCATGGCAATTTTCCTTTTCTTCCCCCAAAGGAGCTTTTGAAACCCCACGAGGTCGTTCTTCTACAGCAGATCTGCTTTTTCCAAGCCAGAAGGACCCCTGGGATTAATTGGCTGGAGAGCTCCATGTTAGAGAGCCAGCACTCGCGTTGCTGCTGTCTCTTCTCTCGCCTCACCCAGGTTTGATCTTTGCCTGAGCCCTCAATTACAGGAGCCCAGCTCTGATGGCCATTGTTAGGAGGGGAGCACCGAGCAAAATAGGGGAGAATGGATAAAAATCGATAGTGTTAGTGTGGATGATCTGCAAGGAGACTCAGCAAAAGGCATGGGGCAGCTGGATGGTGTGAGTGCACCCACATCGGAGCAGGGAATTTGGGACTGGGCTTCCCTCCCTGGGGAGAGCTGCTCCTGTGCTGGAGGAGCTGCTCCTGAACCTGCAGATTGGGTGATTTTGTAGGGTAGTTGGCAAAATGCTTTAGGACTGGCTTCCCAAAGAGCATTTCTGACCTTAAAAATGAATTGATAGGAGAGCATGCAAACTGTCTTGTGTGTGATACGGATCTTCAGAATATTAAATATAATAGTCTGACTATATTGAGTATAACGGCTTCTCTGTGCTGGGAAAATGCTCCACTTCCTCGGACTGAGAGATGTTTCTATTACAAGTTTGTGTTTTACGTGTGTGTGGGGGGGAAT